ACTCCATCCACTGCACCTTCAGCTTTTCTCCTTCAGCTTTGCTCTTCAGATTCTATCCTTCAGCTTTTCTCCTTTTCCTAATCTGGTGTCGTGTGCTCTCTTGATCATGCACGGTTCCTCTGACGTCCTCAACACCTGGAAGCAATACCTTATCCAACCCAACTCCCTATCCCGCTCTATTTTGGTGTGTGTTAATTCACGAGCACAGCGTTGTCAAGTGGCATCCAGCACATACGGCGCCAGGGTCTGCTGAAGCAGATGTACCAGTGGGGGCGAGGGGCGTACAAGACTGCCTGTGCCACCTCTTTCCTTGTCAGGTGGGCTCTTGCTTCCCGGTGTTCTGATTCTTGCTGTTCTCTTGTATGTTTCCTTTCAAGGCCTTCAGCTTAACTGCTGTTTAAACTGTGCGGAAGTTGATGTTTTCTCCCGTTTCATCCTCATCTTTTCTGTTCTTCCCCATGGCCAGCATTTATAAGGAGCGAGTGTTGGTCCGTGCAATTGTGGGGGCTGTGATCTTGTCCAGCCGTGTGGTGATGCGCATGTGAGGGGAAGGTACCTCGGCAGTGCGCACGTATGATTGCACACATGGGAGGGCATCTTCAGGTGGTATATCTGCCTCCCAGGTCCCGTCTCTTGTCGACAATCCACTCCATCTCAGCTTCGAGCTGCCCTGTGAATAGTGCTGAGCAGTTTGTGGTTCACCTGCTGTCGAGAGTAGCTACCCTCCCTTATATCAGTTGTAACTTGTATAGTGGCCCTTGTTCCCCATGCAGTGTAGGTTTTCTGATGATGGCACATGCTAGCTGCCTGCGCGAAGCCATTATTTTACAAGATGGCATTTTTTGGTCTTGTAAATATAGTATCCCAGCTGTTCTTTCACATTCTCTGAGAAATGTCATCCTCGGATGTAGATGACTTCTTGTGCTGTTACTGTACAGTAAGATGTAGAGGGTGCAATGCAATGCAAGATACGGAAGAGAAGAGAATATACCGCAAGGTAGATGAAGAGCTAGGACGGTTGGTTGGAACATGGGTGCTGTTGTGCTCGTCCATTTAAATACAACTGTAACGCGTGTCTCACTTGCCACTTTATTTATGAAGCTTGCCCACTATGAACCTTTTTTTTGGTCATTATAATGTATCCTCCACGAGAGTTTTTATGCAGAATCGATGAGCACTTTCTTCACTCTTGCCATAATTTCATACAAGACTTCTACACTATCGTATTTATGGCAAGACAAATCGTACACTTACTGTGCTTTCCGTGACGCGCGGCGGGGATTCGAAAGTGCTGCGCGAATTTCTCGCCTCGCTTCGCTGTGCTGGGTTGGGTGGGCGCTGCGATGTCGGGTGGTCCCTCAAGAAGTTGATCTGAAGTCTATCAAGCCCACGTGCACCACATTGTGCTTGTGGTGTCTCTCAGGGCCAAAGTAAGGCTCCACTCCACGGTGTTCCATTTACACTCTACCTGCGTTCACATTTCAGATACCTTTGTTCTTGTAGGAAGCCCAGCTGGAACGGATTGTGTGTCTGCGCGTTCTTACGATGAGGCAGCCATCTCCCATGAGTCGGCCTAGCGCGTGCGTTATTCTCCTACTCGCTCTTCTCGCCGCTGCTGTTGCCGCCAACGCTAAAGGTAGGTTCTTAGTGGCTTGAAGACTAAGTGGTAGGTTCTTAGTGGTGCGCTCTGCTGGAATCGACGTTCTCTGTGCTTCTCGAGTTGTGTGTCTCTCTCTCTCTCTCTCTCTCTCTCTCTCTCTCTCTCTCTCTCTCTCTCTCTCTCTCTCTCTCTCTCTCTCTCTCTCTCTCTCTCTCTCTCTCTCTCTCTCTCTCTCTCTCTCTCTCTCTCTCTCTCTCTCTCTCTCTCACACACACACACACCCTCACTCTCACCCTCACTCTCAACCTCACTCTCACCCTCACTCTCTCTCCCTCCCTCTCACGCTCCCTCCCCCTCTTGCTCCCTCTCCCTCTTGCTCCCTCTCCCTCTCCCTCCCCCCCTCCCACTCCCACCCTTCCCCTTCCTCTCCCTGTCCCTCCTCCTTCCCTCCCTCTCTGTCCCTCAACTCCCTTGTCACTCTCTTTCTCGCCACCCGCTCGCACTATATCCGTCCACCCAACCAGCCATCCCAGTAACGTGCTCGTCGGTGCGCTGTACCGCCAACTCTCGCTGCGTGAAGCACACCAACGGCTCTCTCTCGTGCGAGTGCAACACCGGCTTCTTCAAGTCGCAGGACAAATGCCTCTGTACGCCGCTCCTTTTAACCCCATTCAACATTTTTGACCTGGTTTAAGAACCCATCACAAGCGCCTCGGTGTGCCGTTCTTTTAGAGTCCACTCTACACTTTCTACTCGATTGACCACCAAAATTACTTCGTACGCCACCTCCCCGTCTCCGTCCCATGTTCTTCTCTTCTCGCGTCTGCATTCTGCCCCTTTCATGCGTGTGTTCACCGTACAACTATATCCGTTCGTCTCGACATCACTCGCACAAACATCCGCCATGGCACTCTCTCTCGTCGCACACCCTCGCATCTTCACAGCTCGTAATACCCCATGCCGTTCCGTTCTTGCCTTATGTCGCACGATCAACCCCGCTCTACTCATTCGCGGCATCAGGCAGCCCGCATAGATATTCTTCCGCTGAGTGTACCTTTCATTGTTTTATTATAGAGCTAGGAAGTCACTTCCGTCATTTTCGTTTTCCCGTGCGGTGCACAATCTCTCGGACCCGTTTCGTCTGTGTCGCCAGCCACGTGCGCGACGGTGCGGTGTGCGACCAACCGAGTGTGCGAGGTGGACGACGATGGTTCCGCCACGTGTAGGTGCAAGCCGCCCTACTACGTCGTCGGATCCGAATGCAAAGGTGCCTCCTCCTTCTTAACTCAACAACCTACCCCCCCCCCCCCCTCCCCTTCCGCTCCACTCCCCTCGCCTCCCCACCCTTTTCATCCCTCATCGTCCTCCGTCGGTAACCGCCACTTTCCTCGTGTCAGTTTCCCTGCGCTTCTCTCTTTCCCATCCTTCCTGACCTTTTCGTAGGCGTCAACTGGTTATTCTCTAAAACAACTCTCTTTTTCGTCTTCTCCCACCTCCTTCTCTGCAGACCTGTGCATGACCACCAAGTGTCCGGGCGGCAGCGCGTGCAAGGTGGTGAGCGGCAAGGTGAAGTGCGTGTGCCCCAAGGGGCAAGTGATGACAGGCAACAAGTGCGTCAAGCAGACCGGCAGTGGCGGCGGTGGCGGCGGTAACAGCGGTGCGTGTCCTCTCGCCGCCGTGCCTCTGTTCCTGCTCCTGCTCTGCCACTAGCATCTTTCTCGGTGTTGCTTCCTGTGCACAGCTACTGTAGACTTGGTTTCATCGTCCATGCTCTTACATGCCATGCCAAGCCACCTCATGCCGCTCCATGCCGCATCGTGCAGCATCCCTCCACTTCATACCACGTCCATTCACGTGGTAAGGAGCAGTTAGACTTTCCAAGCTTCCATCCTGACCGCCTTTCCTCACGTCCCCCCTCTCCCTCCCTGCCCTTCCCCCACCAGACCCCTGTGCATCAGCGCGCTGTGCTGCACCATCCGTGTGTAAGGCTGTCAACGGCACGGCCGTGTGCTCCTGCTCGCCCCCACTGGTCAAGCGCAGAAACAAATGCATTGGTAATTTGCCATTGGTCTGGAGCGGTAGTAGGCCATCACTATCTTTCTGCACTAGATTTTCACACTATCTTTCTGCGCTAGCTTTTCACACTATCTTTCTGCACTAGCTTTTCACACTATCTTTCTGCACTAGCTTTTCACACTATCTTTCTGCACTAGCTTTTCACACTATCCTTCTGCACTAAATTTCTTTCTGCACTAGCTTTTCACACTATCTTTCTGCACTAGCTTTTCACACTAGCTTTCTGCACTAGCTTTTCACACTAGCTTTCTACACTAGCTTGTCAACACACAATCTTTCCACAACAGCTTCTCACACCACTTTTCCACACCAGCCTTGTGCACCATCTCCCCTGCTCCCCTGTGTGTGACCCTGCACTTGAAGCTGCTTCAACCCTGCCCTTCCCTACCTGTCTTGCCCATCATCAACCCCGGTGTGCCCCGGTGCAGACCTGTGCGCTGATGTGAAGTGCCCCACCAACGCGGTGTGCAAGCCTGCAGACTTCCGCGGAACGTGCTTCTGCAAGGAGCCTTATGCCATGCGCAAGGGCAAGTGCGTCAAGCCCTGACCGATGCGCTCGCCATGCCATGCATCACCACACTTGAAGACAAGCATGCACGTATATACGCAGAGACTGACATTCTTAGGCACACTCATACTTGCAATGCACCACGCGCATGCATTGGCACACCACCATGCATCCTGGTATTCAGCACTCATGCACCATGCACATAGGCGAGCTTGCACACAGCCACATCTTGAGCTTAACCCGATTTCATCTTATTGAAGACTAATGATTAGGATATGATCTTTGGGGCTTGTGCCTGGAGTTTTATTTTCCACCAATGGAGTTGTATGGTATTGCTGCCACTGTACTTTCGTTTGTCGCTGCATGAGTAGCCCTGAAAGCTCTACTACCACCAACCAACCTACTGGTACCAGTAAGGTTGGCCCTGGGGCAATACCAGCATTACGATTGCAACCTGCATTAGTTTCCAGCAATCTTACCGTAATACCGTAACATTGAGTCATGCTAGCAGATGGCAAACAGGGTGCATGCATGGCACAGCAGGAACCTCATATCTCGTTGCTACACTTCATGAGCGTTATATATTGTTGATACAGTGGCCACACTATAACGGGCACTGCTCTAGTACCCTTTCCTATAACACCGGGATGTGTACGTATATCATCTCCCTCCCCTACAGGGATCAGCCCAGCTTCCATCCAATGGCTGTTCCCCTTCCTGACTTCAGCCAAGCCAAGCCTGTATTGTCTTTGTCACTGTGCAAGCTCAGGCCCAGCTGCTCAAGCCAAGGCCGAGCTACTATCACGCAATGCTGCTCTATATGAGGCGCACCTTGCCCCGCTCCATCTGCATCTCGTCAGCCATGGCGAGCGGCTGTGCGTTGAAAGATGAGCCCATGTGGTGGATGTGCCGCCGCTTGTCCCACATCATTCTCCCCACATACGCTGCCACGCCGCCCAGCACCGCCAGCACTGCGAGGACTATCAGTGCAATCGCGCCGCCACTCAACCCGCTGGGGGCCTGGTTAGTGTGAGAGGGGAGAGAGAAGAAGAGGGATAGTAAGCGGTGAGGGAGTTAATGAGAAGCACAGCCGAGCCCTCGCAATGGTAGGAAAGACAATGTGAAGGACAGAGGAAAGTGATTGGTAAGAGGCAGTGGGCCGAGGAAGTAGAGCAAGCAGATTGACCATTCACACTCACACATCTCTTCCCACCCACCCACACACACACACACCCCCAACCCAACCCACCTGTCCCGGCTGCGGCACGCTCTCCGCACTAAACTGCAACCGATCTCCCCCACGCGCGAGAGACCAGTCCGCCACCTCGTGCCACGTGGCGTTGGCGAGCTGCTGCACCGAGTAGGCGGGGCGCACGCGGTCCTTGGCGCGCTCGCCCGTGCTGCCGTTGAACGCCATCTGCCCCGTCACCCCGTAGAATGCCACGCACCCCGCCGGCTCATTGTTGAAGCACCGCCGCAGGGACCCGGCCGTCACATTCTTGCCTGGAGGGGTTGGGATGCGGGAGAAAGAAGAGAACAGGAGGGAGAGTAAGACGCGTGTGTGCTGCGTCGCGCACCCTGGTGACTCGTTGTACGCCACCGCCGCAGCGTTCCTGCCATCAAGCTGATGCGTGGAGGGGCTGGGGATGGAGGGCGGGGACGACGGGCGAGGATGGACGGACGGGAAAGTGAGGAGGAGATGGAAGGGTTTTCCTAGGCGAAGGGAGGAAATGGATTGTCCATGCTGCATGAATGCCGATTACTTGGTGAAAAGATGACAGAGGAGGGAGCGAACGAGGCGAGCGAAAGAACGAAATCTAATCCAGTCAAGGCGCGGCGTGCGTGTAGCGTGCGGGTGTGCGGGCGTGCTGGAGTGCGGGCGTCCGAGAATGCGTGCGTACGCTGGTTGACGATGATGTGGTTGATGCCCTCGTAGAACGCCCACACCGTGTCGATCAGGTACGGCACGTACGCGCGCGGGTAGCGCAGGCGCGGGGTCACGGGCATGGTGATGAGCCCCGGGAACTTGTCAAACGACTGCGCGCTCCAGTAGTCCAGGAAGCGCTGAAACGTGTTGTCCTCCGCGAAGTCGCCCACTGGAGGCCAGGAAGTGGGTGAGTAAGAGCACGAGTGGAGAGAGTGCGGAGGTTATGGGGGAATCAAGGAAGCGCTGAAACAAGTTGGCTGGGATGAAGCGGAGGGGAGGGAGTAAGAAGCTTGGCGTGTGACTGCTATATCAGTCTAAGAACCGTTTCAAGGAGTTGTCATGTGAAAAGAACCCCACGAGAGCACGTACCAAGTGGAAAGGAGGTGAAGGGACGGGGGTAGGAAGGCGACGAACACAGCGGACGAGGAAGTTAAGAAGGAGCAAGAATGGCTTGATAGGGGATAGCGGTGCTAGCCCAGCAGGAGGAAAGGAGCTAGCAGTGGCGGAAACTGACCGAATGGCGCCACGCCCAGCTCGCCGCGGAGCTTGGCGGCGAGCGCGCCCTCGGGGGAACTGGGGGCGGCGTCGGAGAAGTCGAGCGCCACCACGCCGTCCGTGCCCACGTACCACCAGGGGTACTGCAGTAAGTTCTGATGGGGGAACGGGGGAGGGGACAGGGGTGACGAGAGAAGGGCAAGGAAGAGGGGAGAGAGGAGACGGGAGAAGGGAGAGAGGTGAGGAAGGGCGGTTGTGGATGTGCAATGTAGGCCAGGAGGCTTTGCGCACAGGGGAGAGGGAACGAGGGAAGGGAGGCTCGTGGGGCAAGGACGGTCGGGTAAAGGAGGGTTGCGGGCGGGTGGCAGGTGCATGTGCGAGGCATGGGATGGGCGGTACAAATAGCGCCCAGGTGCACATCAATCCACCCTTCCCGCCTTCCGCCTTCCCGCCCTCCCGCTTCGCGCTCTCCACAAGCCCCACCTGCCTACCCGTCATCCTCCCCGCCTTCCCATCCCCACCTGTCTCACGCAGGCCCTCAGACTCTCACATTTCCCCACCTTTGAGGCGCCTTAAAAGTCACCCCTCCTTCCCAAACCCGAAACCCGCGCTCACCAGCTTATCAGCGGCCTTCCACAGGCACTCCGCCACAGCAGGCAGCACCGCCATCACCACCGCCGTATCCTCCCCGCCCTGAAGCAACCCGCCGTTCCCGTCCGGCGCGGCGAACAGGGCGGAGCAATCGGCGGGCGGCGGGTAGGGCACGCGGATGAGGTGCGTGGCGACCCCCGCGTCCTGCTCCACGGACACGTCGTAGCCCAGCGCGCGGCCGTACGTGTCGTCCGAGTAGAACACGTACAGCTTCTTCCACCCGAAGTGCTGCACCTGCGGGAGGACGCACGCGGGGAAGGGAGGGTTACGCGGAGGAGGAGTGCAAGGGAGCAGAGGAGAGGAGAAAGGAGGAAGATGAGATTGGCGGAGTGGGATTGCGACAGTGGCGAGCGCGATTAGGGAGAGGACGAGGAGGATGGGGCGGAGGAAGCTGCAAGAGTTGTCAGGGTGTAACTCTGTTACGTGCTGCCAACAACCATTTTAAAGCGTGTCCTTTCATGCCCGCGGATATGCCACGCTGTGTCGTGCCATGGTGTGCCATGCAATTTCAAGCAATCAGCATGCCACGTACCACGTTGCGAATGGCCGCTGATTGGTGGCGATCGCCGAACCTGATAAGGGAACGGCGGGAAGGGAAGAGAGAAGGATTGGTATATGAGAGGAGAGGAGAAGAGCGATGTCAAGCACACGAACATATCAGAGAAGGCGGGAGGGAGGGGGATGGGAGCGGAAGGGGGGAGTGGAGAAAAACAGGAGCTTTGAGGTGAAGGTTTGAACAGGCAAATGATGCAAGAACACTCGCAGTCAAAGTAGAGCAGAACGGGGGTAGGGATAGTCAAGGAGGGGCGAGAGCAGAGAGCGGTATGGAATGGCGGCGCATACACGGTGCGGAAGAAGGAGTAGAACTGCACGCCTTGGCGGAAGACGTCGGCGGTAGCGGCGAAGGACACGAAGGGGATCCCCTGGCGGCGGAACACCTCGTCCGCGCCCACCACCGCTTCGCTGCACGCGGGTCCCACCACGCCCACCACTCCGCGCTCCACCAGCGACTTGGCGGCCACACGCGCGCTGTCCGCGTTACAGTCCGTTTCGACAATGATGGGCTCGATGGTGAAATCGATGTAGTCTGGAGCGAGGACGTCGACCGCCACCTGTGCTGCGCTCATCCTGCGAGAGAGTCGCACCATGCAATGCCGTGAGATCCATGCATTTCGTGCCATTCCATGCCATGTGATGTCACACAGCAACATACAGTGGCCCCAAATGAAAGAGGAAGAGAAGAGTTTTAAGTCAGTATCCCTTCCCTTACTTTCCCTCCCCAATCCATTAAAGCTGCCTCACCGCACGGACAACGTCGTCATTCGGTACTTTTTTTTGTGATTCTTTTTTGAATGGAAAACAGACGAAGAGGAGAGAAACGCGACGAGGAATGTGCGGCTGAAGACGGTCGGACGCGTGAGAGGAAGGAAAGACCAGGCGCGAGATGGAAGAGCGAGTGCGCACCATTCTTTGGCGAGCGACGAGGGGATGGCGGAACTGTGGTCAGGGTCGGGAAGCATGAAGCCGATGGGGATGGTGGGAATGTCGTGCGGTAGCTGCGCTGCCACGTGCTGCCATGGGAGCAGCAGCAGCAGCAGCGCGCACAGGACTGGGAGAGTGGAAGACGATGCACGCTGTGAGGATCTCTTGGGAGGGCCCATGATTATCGTACAAAATTTCTAGTCAGCGAAGGTAACAAGACTCGGGAGGAAATTAGAGCTCGCCTGCTGTGTTGGTGGCGTGTGGACAGATGCTAAAATTCTGCCACCAGAAAGCTCGTCTGGGAGATGGGTACAAGAAGCTCTAGTCAAGGGGGATGTGATGGGCGAGGATGTTATGAGGGCTACCGATGGAAAGCTTCGGGTCGCCTGGGACTCAGGACGCAACAATCCTACGTCTCGTTGAACACTAGCAAACACTGCCTAGTCAGAACTGCCAACTCCGTCAAATCTACTCAATCGCAGGAATGCCTGAGTTGCTACCTAGAGTGATTGCTGGTGGATTAGTTGTGTTGACGGCTGGGCTGAGCATCATCCGCGTCGCATGTTGGCTGTCAGTCAGACCGCGGCTCCGAGTGAAATGCGCGGGAGCAACCGTTGGGTTTCAGGGCTGCCTAAAACAAACTTTTATTTGTCGGTCATGCGCACACAAGAACCAGTTTTCCGAAAGTTGGTCGGGGCTGATGGAAGCAAAATCTTGTCAGCTGCCCAAATGTGGTGCTCATTCTGAAAAAATGGGCGGTTCGGGTTCCGCGCCTTCAGACGCAGGCACACACAAGCCCTGACATCATCATGAGTACGAAGTGTTTCGGCCATTTGCTGAAATCAAATGGTACTTCAAAAATTAGCTGCTCATGAAATCTGTTTTCTTTGCTAATTAACGCCTCTCAAATGGAATCATGTTATAATAAGGAAGTTAGTATGTGACACATCTTGTGATTATAGTGTTGTGTTATGCCAGGCAATCAACATCGTGTTTTTCATATTCAGATCGCCACCAGTAATCGATTAACGCCTTCTGTTGTTGTCTTCGCTGAAAATCCACAAATCTTCTTTCCCCATTCCCTCCACCCATGCTCTTTCATTCCACCATGCCGCCCAACAACTCCAGGCATTTCTCAGCAGCCATCTTGACAGCCTCACTCTTCTCCACCTTCACAGCATCGCGCAGAGCAGCAGTGAAGGAATCCCGGTCCGCAGGCTCAAGGGCGCTGTGGTGCTGCAGGCACACTGTGGCTGCCTGCACTGCCTCCACGGCTGCTTGACGGGTCTGTTCTCTCATGGGCACATGCACGAGAATGGGCAGATCACAGAGACGACGTATGTGCACATATGTGTGTGCACAAAAAGCGCTTATGTGAGAGGCATGTGGAGAGTGAGTCAAGGAAGGGCCTGCGGAGAGGGATCGAGCAACAACTGACAGGAAACTTGGAAGGGGACCTAACTGGGTGTTGAGAGACGGGGGAGAAAAGAGGGGAGGAGAGGGAAGAGGGGGAAGGAAGGGGCTGGAGTTGGGAGGGGGTGGGTGGAGGTGTTGGGCGGATTGATTGCTTGCCTGGGAGCGCTTGGTGTCAGATAGAGCATCGATGAAGCTGGGGAGGAAGGGGGCCACCGTGTTGTGCACAGCAGCCTGCACATGTGCCTGTATGCAGCGGCATGCGGTGATGGCCATGCATGTATGCAGTGGCATGCGGTGATGGCCATACGAACACGTGCAGGGTGCATGTGAAGACCACACGAAGGGCGTATGAAGGGCACATGAGAGCAGAATCTCCCTATCTCTTGCTTGCAAGCATTCATCTACATATGCGGTGATCGACGCAATGCAGCCCACACATTCAAACCACTCGATGCTCAAGGACCATTGGCTGAGTCATAACGACCATTGGCTGAGTCAGAACGACCATTGGCTGAGTCAGAACGACCATTGGCTGACTCATAACCACTAGCGTTTGAGTCATAAGGCTGAGTACTGGCCATTATCCTTCCGGTGATGAACTTACGTCCGAGGGTAACTTAAGAAGAGCAGTTAGGAACGTGGCGCTCGTATTGAGTGCTGCTAGCTTGACTGCCAAAGGAAGCGGGTTCAGAAGGGGAGGACGACGATTGCGAGGCAGCAAGGCATGGCAGGGACTCCTGGAGTGCGAGTGGATGAGAGTTACAACAGTGTGAGTGCAGCGCGCTGCAGTGCAGTGCAGTGCAGTGCGGTGGAACTCGGGACAGGGAAAGCGACATTGTATGCACCAGTGTAACAAAAGGCGAGCTTCGTGGCGAGACAAGTGCAACAGACAGGAGTCAAAGATGAGAGGGGGTCATGCACACCTGTCCAGACGGGATTGGAGGAGAGCAGGGCGCAGAGGGCTGATTGCAGGGGTGCTGTGTATAGCGGCAGGGAGGTGGGTGTTGCGGAGGGGAGAGCTGCAGAGACACATGCTAGCAGCGCCTCCTGCTGCTCTGCTGTTGTTGCCCGCGCTTCTGCTGTTGGCTCTGCTGCTTGAAATTGGGGGGGGTGTGTGGAGGGAGATGGGGGGAAGGGCGGGAGGATGGAATACGAGAAACGGTGAGGAAAAGAGCTGTGATAATCAGTTGCGAAGGCAGAGACATACAGAAACAAGGCAACAACGTCTTGTGAAAACATCCATTCTCAATGAACCCACACTTCTCCCCAGCACAAGAAAAAACGACAAGCAACTACCTTTCAACAGACATGTTCAGGGAAGATTGCATGAAACGACATACCAGCAGATGCAGTTTTTGAAGCATCAGCAAGTGCAGTGGCGGGAGATGCGGGTGGAAAGAGCGCAATCAAGCCTGGTGCCACCAGAGGTAGCAGGTCCAATGCTGGAGCTGATGCTGCTGCTGCTGCTGGTGCTGGTGATGCAGATGGTTTCGACAACTGCTGCTTCGGAGGAGGTGTGGGCGAGAAAGCCTGCAAGACCTGTTGGTGAAAGGGAGGAGGGCGATTCTTTAATTCAACTCACAACTGGTGGTGGCACGGGAGCAAAATAAACATGGAATGTGCAATGGCGAGGGGTGGAGAGACAGAAGGGATTGGATAACTGCGACTGAAGGGCGCAGAAAGCAACAGAGTACCCAGATATTGTGATACTGCTATTGTCAATCTTTGCCACTTGGTACAGGCACTGTAACTTGTGCGTCAAAGTGCATGCAAGAAAGTGCACAGCACACCTTGTGCAGGCTCTGCAGAGCTGCCAGTCTGAACGCTGCCTTGTTGCGCCCGCAGGCTGCCAGCACTGCTGCCACCACATCTGCTGCTGCTGATTTCCCTGCCTCTGCTGCTGCTGCTGGTGCTCCCTGTGTGGCTGCTGACGGTTGTAGTGAGAGTGAGAGCAGAGCGGAGGGGCATGCAGTGCAGATGGCCGCAATGGCTGGCAGCAGCTGCTCCTTGCCCTGGGGGAGGAGGCGGAGGAGGGAGAGGAAGAGACGAGTGGGTGTAGAGAGCCAATGTGGAGGGAGGAAGATGAAGGAACAAGGATGGTACATGCAATGTCACCTAGCTGACGAGAATAAACAAACGAATGGAATGGATCGTAGCAGCAATGCATGTGGCCGTGCATGAAAGGCAAGTGCAAGCGGAGGTTTAGATGCTTAGAGAGTACTTTCAATGGGGTTTATCTCACCTCCCACAAGCGGCCTGGCAGCTGTGGCAGCAGGGCGGAGAGGAACTGCAGCAGGACGGTGTGGGGGGTGTCTGTGCCCATGGCCTTCACCACTGCCTGCATGGCTGCTGCTGCCTGCAGCAGAAGGGGTGGGGGAAGGCGGGGCGAGGAGGAGAGGTGGGGAGGAGTGATAATTGAGCTGACTAAAAGCAGAGGGAGGAGAGGAACTGCAGCAAGGGCCGTGTGTGGAATGTATACGCTCATGGCCTTCAAAACTGCCTCCATGGCTGCTGCTGTTTGCAGTGGGGAGAGGTGGGACGCGAGGAAAGGAAACGAGGGGGCTGAGGAGTGGACGGGACGAGAGGCGATGCGAGAGAACGTCAGAGATGGAGAGGGGGAAGGGGAAAAGGAAGGAGCTGGCAGCTTTCTAGCCTCACCTGGCAGCGGTGTAGCCTCGCCTCACCTGGCAGCGGCGGGTCCAGGAGGAGGAAGAGGCGGCAGCGGTGAGCGTGGGAGCAATGTCCCCTGCGTGTTCCCTCACTGCTGCCGACGCCGCCACTCCCACGTTGTCCCACGCCTCCTCCCACACCGCCCGCACTGCCTCGTCCTCATCGTGCCTGGTAACAGGCATGGAGAGGGGGTGGGGGGAGGAAGTGGGTGCGTGAAATTTGAGACGACCAAGAATCGCCTCCTCCCACACTGCCCACACTGCCTTGTCCTCATCGTGCCTGGTAAACAGACACGTCAGGGGGGGAAAGGGGTGGAAGTGAGGGAGAGTGGGTGGAGAGAGGCAGGCGTAGAAGAGGGAAGGTGCGCTCATATAAAAGGCAATTGTTTGCATGCATGCAGCAGGGAGAGGATGCGAGCATGCATGGTTGGTTATATAGCTGTGGAGGGAAGTGCAGGAGGGGGAGAGGCATCCGAGCAGGGGGGGAAGGAAGAGGAGAGGGGGAAGGGAAAGGAGCAGGTGAGCTAGCTAGCATCCCCTCGACCGACCCTCCTGACTAACCGTCCAAGGAGCAGCGTGGGCAGCAACACGTGGTGGCACGGTGGCATATCGTCCGGACACGCCTTCCCCACATCCCGCATCAGCAGCGCACAGCACAGCCGCACGTCCTTTTGCCCTGCTGCCTCCTCCCCCAGGTACTTCCCACACGTCTCCCCCACTGTTTTCTCCACTGCAGCACCCCCTGCGCATTTGGCCATGTCGGCTGCTGCTGCTGAGAAGGCTCTTCGGCCCGCGGAGGTGCGTTCGGAGAAGAGAGCGAGGGTGAGGGACTTGAGGAAGGCGGGGGCGTGCGGGCGCATGGGTGTGGGGCCGGCGCGCGGGATGAGGAGCGAGATGAAGCGAGCCACACCCACTCTGATGGGGGAGGGGAAGCGGCAGGGCAGAGGAGGGGAGGTGCGGAGAGATGAGGAGGGATGAGAAGGGATGAGGAGGAATGCAGAGGGATGCGGACTCTGAGGGGGGTGATGGCGGCATTCGAGCTAGGTCAGGAAGTTAAGGGGCCCGTTTCGTGAGGAAGCAGGCAGGAGGGATGGTGAGATGTTGGTCGAATGTAGGAATGGGGATTATGGCAACGAGTAGGCACTGGGTTGGGGATTATGGCAACGAGTAGGCACTGGGTTGGGGATTATGGCAACGAGTAGGCACTGGGTTGGGGACGGGATCAGGTTGCGCGCAGATGAGAGGAAGGAGTAGGATGATAGAAGGGGCAGAATGGGGAGGAGGAGGAGGGGTGGCACCTGGTGTTGAGGCCCACAGAGGAGCGCGTGAGGGACTTGAGTGTAGGTAGGAGGTCAGGCAGACAGGACTCGTCCACCTGCAACAGGGCAGCAGTGTAACAGGGTAACAGGGTAGGTAGCAGGGGAAGGTAGAGGATAGCAGAGCACAGGTGGAGGGCAATAGCAAAAAGGTGGACGGAACAGCAGAAACGGGATCGAAACGGATACACAGAAAGACAGACAGAGAAGCACACAGGTACAGGGAAGAATTGACCAATGGACCGCACAAGTAGCTAGCTGGAGACAGAAACCAAATGCAGTGAGCAGCAAGCAACAAGCACTAAGGAACAATGCACGCACCTGTTGCAGGCACGCATCGAGTGTGTGCCACATGGGCGTGTCTCGTGACATGGCCAGCCGTGCCGCCTCCAGCTTCTCACTGCTGATGCCCACCCTCTCCGCGTGTTGCTGCTCCGTGCCGTGGAAAGAGGAACGGCAGGGCGGGCGTGGGAGGGTGCAACGGACAAGAGGGACAGTGGGGTGAAGGAATGGAGGTGGCTCACACAGGCAGATGAGACAGGGATCAGCGGTGTTGAAAATATTGAGGCATCCATTTCTAAGTCGCCTAAAAAAAAAAGACTTGGCAAGCAGGCAGATGAGACAGTCAACGAAGAAGACAGATGGGCATTTGTGCACGTGCATGCGCACATCACCACAAGCTCCTGTGCATGTGCGTGCTCTGCTGCTCTCCTGCAAAAATCTCCACACTACACTACATGCGTCACCCAAGAACCAGCCCTAGCCCAAGCCGCCCCCGCCCCGGCCCCGGCCCTGGCCCCGGCGTCCTGCCCCTGCCCCTGCCCCTGCCCCTGCCCCTACCCCTACCCCTACCCCTTCCACCCCGCGCACCTCAGCGTAATTGAGGTTCTGGTCCTCCAGGCCTGAGAGCGCTTCCAGCATGGCCGGCACCAGCGCTGCCAGATGCGGCTGCACCGATGCTCCCGCTCCCTGCGATGGGGAGAGGTGGTGGACGGTGGAAGAACAAAGAAGTGGGGGAGTTTGGTGAGTTGGCAGCGGTGGCGTGCAGTGGTGGCGCGCAGTGGTGGCGCGCAGTGGTGGCACGCAGTGGTGGCCCTACCTTGCGCCAGGAGGGCGCTGTGGGAAGAATTTCAACAACAATCCCCATCCCACACAAACCAGAGTCACTCTTGAGAACTCGCAACAAGGACGCCATTCCCTGCGTGTGCCAACAAAGAGTTCTTCAGGAGCACTTTGCTGTACAACAATTCCCCTCCCTTACCCCCCCAACGGGTACCTTGGCGAGCTTGGCAGTGGTGGAGAGAGGCAGGTGGCGCACAGAGCCCACGGATGAAGTCATGCCCAGCGCCAGCAAGTTGTTGCTGAGATATCTCAACAACGCCCCTCACTTCTCTCCCTCCTTCCTCCCCCTCTGCCACCCACCTTGGCGAGCTTGGCAGTGGTGGAGAGGGCGAGGTGGCGCACAGAGCCCACGGACGAGGTCATGCCCTGCGCCAGCAGCACGGGCAGCACCACGCTGCACGCTGCGTGTGCGTCGGCGCGTGGAGTGAGCGTGGGGTCGCACAGGCGCACGGTGAGCGATGTGGCGGCGCGGCACAGCTTTTCTCCTGCCACGCGCACGCTGTCCTTGATGTCGTCGCATGCACGGAATGACACCACCCACACCCGCTCCAAATGACTGGAAACCTGTGGAGGGGAACAGGGAAATGCGTGGGTGTGTCAGTGAGTTGTCTCAAAAATACCTAGGGGAAACACACCTTCTCCCCTGCCACACGCACGCTCTCATTGATGTCGTCGCACGCACGAAATGACACCACCCACACCTGCTCCAGGTGGCTGGATACCTGCAGAGGGTGGGGGGGATGAGTCATACGGAACCCGAAATGGTTAGTTACGAGGCGTCTCAAAAGTCGGTGAGCAACGTGGCGGCGAGGCGGAACTTCTCCCCAGCCACATGCACACTGTCTTTAATGTCATCGCACGCACGGAATGACACCACCCACACCTGCTGCAGGTGCCCCGATACCTGGGGGTGGGGTGAGTAGTCAAACAAAACCTGACATGGTTAGTTCCTTGTGCCACTACCCGCCCCCCCCTGCAATAATTTGATATCTGAGGAGAGGGAGGTGTGGGCGTGTGGGCATGTAAGCAAGTGAGCAAGTGGGCATGTGAGCACATGGACAGGGGTATATGGACAGGGGTATATGGAACCCACATATGTATTCGGATGCAGTTGTGCTGTTCAGGCATGGCGTTCATATACACAAACAAGTTAGTACAGCAGCATGCACGAGGAAGGTGTTAACATGATATCATCATGTTAGCATAACATGCCTCCCCATGCAAGGAGCAGGCGGTGTGGTGGGACAAGGGTACTACTGGAGTGCTGAAAAGAACAACTTGCTACAAGACGAAGTGTGATTGAAACTGCGGGTCAACAACCCCCCAAAAGCAAATCACCTCACACAAAATCCATCCATTTCCATCTCCTATTCCACTCCCGCAACCCACCTCCACCCCGCCCAACCCCCCCTCCCTCGCCCCCAATTCCCCCACGCACCTCTGCAAACCGTCTCGAAGGCAGCAGGTCAGCAAGCGCAAGGCACGCAGCCTCTCTGTTGCGCCACAGCCGCCCCGTGACATTCCCCATCAGGTCATTCACAATCTCATAGAAGTGCCGGTCCACCGTGGCCTTGGGGTCGCGCACCAGCGCGCGCCAGATGTGCCCTGCAGCCTCTGCGAGGGGGCGGTTGGGGTCGTACATCATGCGCAGCAGCCGCGGGACGAGTGCCGGCAGGTGCGGCTCTAGTGCTGCACCGGCTTCTGCTGCCACTGCTGCAAAGCTGAAGGCGGCTCCTCGGTTGGAGTTCAGGGCCGCCTGGAAGGGGTTGGGAGGAAGGGGGCGGGGAGAAGGGTGGGAAGGGGGCGGGGTGGGGTGAGATGTGAGTGGGTGGAGGAGCGGTTGGGTCGGGGTGGGGTGGGCAGAGGGAGTTGGCAGAGACGGAACGTTGAAACCGATATGGTTAACATGCGGGTAGATCGTACAGAGCAACTGACTGACAGGCAGCAACACCTGCACATACCATTCTGTCAAGACCAAAAGAGCAGCACTTGCAAGGGCTAAGGCAGGAAAGGTACATGACGAACTCGCCAAGCCACCACATGCCCTTTCCCGCCCCACAAACCCGCTTCCATCCCTTCCCCTTCCCCCCATTCAGAACCTTCTTCCCCTCTTCCCCCTGTCCCCTCCTCTCCTCTCTCCCCAGAAAAGAACAAACAGCAGGAGCGAGGGCAAAGGCAAGAACAGCAGAAGGAGCGAGCAGAGCACGCACGTGGTGGTTGGCGATATCCATGAGGTGGTAGATGAGGTCGGGCTGTCCCATGTCCGTCGCCACACTGCACAGCTCAACCACCAGCTGCCTTGCTTCTCCCTCCCCCATTCCCCACCACCCAAACCCATTCCCGTCCTTTCCCCTCCCCCCAATTCATACCCTTCTCCCCCTCTTCCCTCCCCACCCCCTCCCTTTCCAGCAAACAGCAGGAGCAAGGGCAAGTCAGGGGCAATAGCAGAGCAGAGCACGCACGTGGTGGTTGGCGATATCCATGAGGCGGTAGATGAGGTCGGGCTGTCCCATGTCGGTGGCCACACTGCACAGCTCGACTCAACCACAACTTGCTTCCCCCTTCCCCACCCCGCAAACCCATCTCCAACCCGTCCCCCCGGTTAATGGTAAGGGCAAGAGGGGCACATAACGCACATGGTGGTTGGCGATGTCCATGAGGCGGTAGATGAGGTCGGGCTGTCCCATGTCCGTCGCCACACTGCACAGCTCGCGGTACGTGCTCACGCCCACGCTGCTCTGCGCCCGCCCTGCTGAGCTCGCCGCGCTGCTGCTGCTGCCCGCCGCCCCTGCTCGCATGGAGGAGGAGGAGGTGTTGCGTGCGACTGAGTCCTCTGTGAATACCTCTGTGTCGCCCAGTAGCTGTGGAGTGGGTGGGAAGGGGAGTGGGGGGAGAAAGAGGAAGGGGAGTGGGTGGAGAAGGAGGAAGGGGAGTAAGGAAGGGTGGGGTGATGGGAGATGTGGAGGAGGTTTGGAGGGTGAGGGGGGATGAATGAGAGTTGAAGGAGAGCGGGGCGGAGGCAAAAGGAGGAGGTGAGAAATGAGAGGAGAACATGCAAGAAGACATGCACAGTGAAAACTCAATTCCTTCCCTCTACCCCATCACTCCCCACTCTTCCCCACTCAGTCTCCCCCACTCACTCCCCCTCCCTTCCCACTCCCCTCTCCCACCTTCCCGCTGCGCTTCTGCCCGGCAGCGCCAGTGAGGTTAGCGACAAGAGCAGCAACGAGCAGCTGCTTGGTGTGTGCATCGCCCAGTGTGTAGATGCGAGACATGGCACGGGACGCCATCTCCTGGGTCAGCTCGTTGGAGTCGCCCAGCAGTGCACTGAACGCGTCCTGGTAGAGGTGGGTGGTGCGAGCAGGGGGGTGGGTGGGTGTGTGATAGGGCGGTAGAGGGAGGGGCTTGAACCAGTATCAAGAACTCCCAGCGTGGCACAGGGGGTGGGTGGTTGGGTGGACAAGGTGACTTGTAGTGGTGGAACAGGGAAGCAGGGTACCTGCCTGCAGCTGGTTCAGCATGCGGCTTCTGAGTCGACTCAACAAGGGAGGTGGCATACCTGGAGCTGCGGCAGCAGGCGTTGCATGGAGGCGTGGTGGCCGCAGAAGGAGAGCAGCGACATGAGCCACACGGCCCCCGCACAGCGCTCCTCACTGCGGGTGCTCACCAGCAGCTCCTCCACCAGCACCTTCCTCATGCTCTCCCACCTCGCCTCCATCGCCTCTCCTCCCCACACCCTCTCGCTCCCCTCTCCCTCCTTCCTCCCCTCGCCCGCTGAGGTCTCCTGCCCCCCTTCCCCCATCACCACATCAGCCACAGCCTGCCCTTCTTTCTCTCTTTCCATCTCTTCTCCTGCTCCTGCTCCTGCTGTTGCTCCTGTTCCACCCTGCCCACCTGCCGTCTCCTCCTTTCCTGCCTCACCACTCGCATCACCCATCTGCACATCTGCTTCCCGCTTAGGGCGGCGCGCCTTGTCCTGTAGCGCGGCGGCAGCAGCGTCATCAGCGTCGTTGAAGATGGGAGCGAGGGAGGAGTGAGGGCCGGAGAGCAGCAGGGTGGGGCGGAAGGGAGGGCAGTCCACCGGACCCCACACGAACGCCAGCGCCTCACCTGCTGCTAGCAACGTCGCCTCGTTCTGCAGGTGAGGGGAAGGGTAGAAGAGATGGGGGCGAGGGAGGAGTGAGGGCCGGAGAACAGCAGTGCCGGGCCAAATTGAGGGCAGTCCACTGGACCCCACGCAAACGCCAGCGCCTCGCCTGCTGCTAGTAACGTTGCCTCGTTCTGCAGGTGAGGAGGGGGAGGACAGAGTGCAGAAAGGGTTGGGGTGGGTGGGTGGGGCATTGAAAGGGTGTGTATGGCAGAGCATATAAGAAGAGTGCTTTGGGAGGGCAATAAGGAGAGGAATTGACCTAGCAAGCCACGCTCCCTTTCTTACAAATTCTTGTACTTGCTCACACAACACCACCTTCCCCCTCCCCTCTTCCTCCACTCTCTTTATCTGACCTTGCATCGACCGAGAGTGAGCAGAGCAGTGAGAGCAGCATCCGCCACACCCTGAGGGTCGCCATAGCTCATCATCCCCAGCGCCCCTGCCGCACTCTGCATCACCTTGTCATCCCTATGTGACAGTAACGAGGCCAGCTGCTCCACCACATCCCCCCTCTTCCTCTTCTTCCGCCCCTCCTCCTCCCCACTCGCTGCCTTCTCCCCATCCTCACCACTCTTTCCCACATCTCCCCCACTCCCCTCCTCTCCCACCGCTCCACTCGCAGTACCCTCAGGTGCTGCTTCATCCTTGAGAGAGGAGGAGGAGGTGGAGGAGGAGGGGGGCGGAAGGGGGCCTGTGAGGCCTATGAGGCCCAGGGCTTGCGCGGTGAGGGCCAGGGTGGAGGGCGCTGATGAGGGGGAGAGCAAGCGCGAGAGGAGCAGATCCACGGATGATGCTCGCTGCAGTGGTGAAGGGGGAAGAAGGGGGAGAAGAGGGAGTGGCGAGCGGGAGGAAGGAAGGGGCATGGGTGACAAGTGTGGGAAACAGCAGTGGAGAGAGAGAGGGTGTAACGGCAGAATTTAAGGGGCATACTCGTTCAGAAGGAGTTAGTGACGTGATGTGACACCTCAAGGGTTATGTGCGCGGTGGAACGGGGGAGTGGATGGATGATGCATTGCCATTGTTGCGGCACGTCCTCCCAACACCAACAGCCAGGGTGTGAAGGGGCCACATGCCGAGCAGCACACACGAGAGGTACATACACGAGAATCGAGTGTTGAAGTTTGGCGTGTGAAAGGGGACACTCACCCCTGCAGCGTCGGCAGCTGTGGCTGTGACGTAGCCCAGTGCTGCTATCAGCCCCTGCGCCTCCTCCTCCCTGCCACCACGACACGCACACACGCACAACACAGTAGCAGGGCGGACGCAGGGCGAGAAGAGCGAATGATAAGTTGGTAGGATGAGCAACAGCAAGGCGTGCCCATGCAGGAAAGGAGAGGTGCGGGGAGAGAAAGAGCGGAGAGACATGGAGAGATGGAGACAGACCATGGTACCATTACCCGCATTGATACAAAGGATCGTTTGGAGGAAGGACGGATCATCCTGCGCGCATCCCTCCTCCAAACAGCAACAACAACACGACACCCGACCACCACACGCCTGCCCGCACTCACTTGATCCCCGCCTTCCCGCCCTCATTTGCCAGGCCCCCCTGCAGCTTGAGTAGCAGCGCGTGGGCGTCAGGGGCAGGCAACCCCCGCGCCACAACGCCCATGAGCTTGGCGAAGGCTGCTCGCACTGACGGGTCGTTGTGCGACAGGAAGCGCTGCAGCCACGGAAGACGCGCGGTGAAGCGCAGAGCCAACTGGAGGAGGGGGGCAAGTGCGGGGGAGGGGCATGGGAAGGGGAGTGAAGAGTGAAGGGGGGATAGTGAGCGGTACAAAGGAGGAAACGCTGTGGTGTCTTCTGCCCCCCGCTGCCTATTTCACGTTCTTTTTGGCTTCTTCCCCTCCATTCGTCCCAAACCCTCACCCTATCCCCCTCCGCCCTTGTCAAAAGCCCCTCGCGGTTCGCCTACCCCCATTCCCATCTCACCTGAGGGTGAGCAGCTACTATTTCTAGCAGCGCCCTGCCTGCCTCCGCGTGCACCTCCCATGTGGCATCGCGTGCGAACCCATGCTCCACAAACACACACAGCCTCAAAAACCCATCTCACCTGCGGATGAGCGGCCACTATTTCCAGCAGCGCCCTGCCAGCCTCGGCATGCACCTCCCACGTGGCATCACGTGCGAACCCATGCTCCACAAACACACACAGCCGCTCCTCCACTGATCCCGCCTCCGCTCCCCCCTCTGCTTTCGCCTCTGCACTCGCTTCTGCTTTCTCCTCTGCTTTCTCCTTCCCTTTCTCACCACCACCGCTCCCACCAACCTCACCCTTTCCTCCTCCCTCTTCCCCAGCCCCTCCCTCCCTCTCCCCCTTCGCCCCTCCTCCCCGTCGCTCCTCGCGCCAGCACAGCAGCAGGAAGCGAATGGCGGAGAGAAACGCAGCAGGAGGTAGCAGCAGCGTCTGTTCCCCCTCCAGGGGCACGGGTGCAGCTGCCTTGGGCTTCTGCTTGCATATGAACGCGAGCAGCGATGAGAGAGAGGGGGGCGGGGCGGCAGAGGCGGAGGAGGAGGAGGAAGAGGAGGCGAAAGCTGGGGAGGGCGTGGAGAGGGGAGAGGGGGAAGAGGCGGCGGTGGGCTTTTTGGTGCGTGTGTCTGCTTCTGGGAAGAGGAAGCGTTGGGCTGCCTCCCTGGTAGATGGGGGTGGGATTGGGAATTGGGATTTGGATTTTTGGATGGGTTCAGAGGATGGCGAGGTGTTTGCTCATATGGGGGAATAGATTCTGAGACATGTGATGTGAGAGTGTGAGAGATGTGAGAGTGTGAGAGATGTGAGAGTGTGAGAGATGTGAGAGTGTGAGAGATGTGAGAGTGTGAGACATGTGAGAGTGTGAGAGATGTGAGAGTGTGAGAGATGTGAGAGTGTGAGAGATGTGAGAGTGTGAGACATGTGAGAGTGTGAGACATGTGAGAGTGTGAGAGATGTGAGAGTGTGAGACATGTGAGAGTGTGAGACATGTGAGAGTGTGAGAGATGTGAGAGTGTGAGACATGTGAGAGTGTGAGACATGTGAGAGTGTGAGAGATGTGACGGGGCCGTGAGTGCAGGGAGTGTGCAGGGGGTGAACGAGTGCATGTGCAACCAAAAAACTGACTCCCTGCAACTTCAACCACAAAGCTTTTCCCAACTGGACAAAAACCGTTGAAGGTCCTCTCTGTGGTGTGCCTGTGGCTGGCACTGACTTGATCTCGGTTTTGTTGTCAGCTGTAGCTAGCAGCGCGAGGAAGCAAGCGGGCGCAGAGGAGAGGGAGAGCAGGCGCATGGTCCACTGCAGCGTGCAGTACCGCACCGCCTCCACTGGCTGGAGGCGTGGAGAGGGGTGGAGTGGGGTGGAGTGGGGTGGAGCAGGGTGTAATGAGGTTGAGTTGTGAAGATGAGGAAAAATGGGGTGTCATGAGGAGATTTAGTAGCAGTAATGTGCATGCCCATGGTGAATGGAGGGTTCATGCGCAGTTGTGGAAGTGGACAGAGAGAGAAAGTGGATGGGGATGAGGAAGAGTCAGGCAGCGGGAGGGGAAGAGGAGGGGCTGATTGTGAATAATAGGTCAAATGCAGAAAAGCGTGACGGCATGAAATGACGTGTCAAAGTACAATGCCTAGATAAAAAGGGCGTTGCCATGCCACACCGCAGCATGCCACACCGCAGCATGCCACACCACAGCATGCCACACCCCAGCACAGGCGGGCACTCACAGAGGAGCAGTGCTTGAGCAGCAGGCCCTCAACGGACTCCAACACCTTGGGTGAACAGCCCTGTCAGGGGGTGCGGGTTGGAGGGGGAGAGGAGATGGACGAGCACAACAGACAAAATGTCGAGGAATGCGGGCCGGGGAAAGGGTTGGAGTGAGTGCTACCTGTGCTCTCAGCACGGCTCACATCACATCACACACCACACCATCACAGCTACCTTCTGTGGCGTATAGGAGGGAAGTGACGTTTGAATGAATCAGCTATGAATACGCATCCTAAGTCACTTCACTTCCACCAAAGGCAATGGAGGGAGGGACCACGCTACATTCCCATTTCCAATTTTCCACCAAGCAGCCATGGCATGGCACGTAGAAGCCACTCCATCCTACAAACTGGTACAATATGAGCTGGCGAACAGCCCTGCTGGTCTCAGGTGCTGCCGGTTTCAGGTGTGTCTTAGAGGACCATACACTGACTGACTGTGGGAAGTGCTGCTGGAGGTGTGAGGTGTGAGGCACATGGGGAGGGGAAGGAAAGGAGAGGCGTACCTTGTAAGCGGACGCGAGGGAGAGTAGTGCGTCCTGCATGACCACTCGCAGGGATGGCGACTCACATGCCTCCAGTGCCACCAACATGCGCTCACACATGCTCGCATCCCCCCTGCCATGCCATTCCAAGCCATGCCATACCATGCCATATTCGGGATTGAACAAATTAGTGAATTGGCCAATGCATGTCGTTCAGTTAAGGCCAGAGGGGAATGAAAGGAGCAACGAAATGGCGAGAGGGTGGATACAAGTAAGACCCAGGGGAGGAAGCGGGGACAGCAGAAGAGCTGAAAGAGGAGAGGGCAGGGAGGAAGGCAGGCGACGGGGGATGGGCGGAAGAGGAGAGGGGTGAAAGAGGGGGAAGGGGGTGTGATTCTGAGAGGAGGCGGGAGGGCGGCAGGCAGACCTGACAAGGAAGGGGCAGCGCTCTGCCAGTTGAGCGATGGCTCGATACGTGAATGCCTGCAGCTGCTGCGATGGGGGGTCTGCATGGGGACACGCATAAAGGCACGAGGAGTTCAGGAGGGGGAAAAGGGGGAAAGGGGGTGGGGAATGGTAAGCCGTACATAGGTGTGCAGAAGGCAGCGCAGGGGTACATAAGCGGAGAGGGCTGCAGATCCACGCGCTAGCGTAGACTATATACGCGTGTACGCTAGTGCGTGGATCTGCAGCCTAGGAGAGCGAGGACACTCTCTGTCCACAGCGTGTATGTGTATGTTTACTTTGGTGCCTCTCCTAGGTCCAGCGCCTCAGCAATACCAGACCGAGCAAGGGCAGCTTAATTCTGTCGCTAAGGTGCCTCAATCACAGAGATTCCTCCCCCCCTTTCCCCCATCCCCTCCTTCCCCTCCACTCCACTCACACTTTACCCAGCGCCTCAGTAACATCATATTGCGGGAGGAGCTTGAGGCTGCTTTTGAGGCGCCTATGAAACAGACCTCCCCCCGCTTACCTGCTCTCCCCTTCCCTCTCCTTTCCCTTTGTACACTCACCCAGGGACTCAGCAGCGTCGTACTGCGAGAGCAGCTTGAGCAGCGAGGAGAGGATGACTGGTGACAAGGGCCGCAGCCGGTCCTCCTTTGCCTGGTGGTGACAGGGAGGCAGAGGCACAGGGGCATGGGGGCACGGGGGCAGACCAGTGGGGCGGGAGGGAGGGAGAGAAAAGGTGAGAGAGGCATGCGAATGCAGTGGGTAGGTGATAGAAGTGAAGCAGGTTGCGTTAATTCAGGCGAGCATGAATAGCGCAAGCAGCAGCAAGGATCAAGGAGCACGGAGCAAGGAGAGAGGAGAAAGGAGAAAGGAGCAAGGAGCGAGGAGCGAGGAGCAAGGAGCAAGCAGCAAGGAGCAAGCAGCAAGGAGCAAGCAGCAAGGAGCAAGCAGCAAGGAGCAAGCAGCAAGGAGCAAGCAGCAAGGAGCAAGCAGCAAGGAGCAAGCAGCAAGGAGCAAGCAGCAAGGAGCAAGCAGCAAGGAGCAAGCAGCAAGGAGCAAGGAGCAAGCAGCAAGCAGCAAGGAGCAAGCAGCAAGGAGCAAGGAGCAAGGAGCAAGCAGCAAGGAGCAAGCAGCAAGGAGCAAGGAGCAAGCAGCAAGGAGCAGCAGCACGCACATGCTTGAAGACCCAGACGGCAAACTCCATGCCCAGCTGCTTGCTGCGCGTTGATGCCCCCACGCCTGCACCATACCCACCCATGCACACACAGGATAAGGAGTGCACACAGCCATGGCACGCGTCCAAGGACGGATTTAGGCACGCCCACAGGCACACAGGGCACGTGACAAGGTCAGGCTGTGGTGGTCCCAGGCAGACAAGCATAGCAAAGATAGATTTTTGAAATAAAATCAGAAAGCGAACAAGCAGGTAGCGCAGCAGGACGCAACGCAGTGCAATGCAATACGGCCGGCAGGGAACGAGCATGCTGCAGTCACCGCCGCCCCAACCTGACAACAGTGGCCCCTGCCACTGCTCACACCCGCCCGCCCGCAGAAGCACCGGCCACAGCTCAGTGCCACACGAGCAGGCTCCCAACGAGTCAAGGGTCATGGGTCACAGGTCGTGTGTCATGGGTTACACACGGTTCAACCACCCCCCTGCCCCCACCACTCCCCCACGCTGTTCCTCCCCCCTTTCCTTCCCTCCTCCCCAGAACCCACCCCCCACACAGTACCATAGATAGCATCGAAAATGACGTGCAGGGTGCCTGGGAACGCGTTGGCGGCAGCAATGGAGCGCACAAACGCCCCCAGCAGCCGCAGCTTCACTGCTGCTGACGCTGCTGGCACTGCCGCTGCTGCTGTCTGCGGCTGCTTGGGGTCAGAGGCGGGGGTGCCTGGTGGTGATGTGAGAGGAGGTGGGGAGAGGTCGAAAGGGATTAAGAGGCTTGTAGGGGAGAGATGGGAAGCAGCACGCAGCATGGAAGGACATGGTGGGGGAGGGATGGGAGGATAGGAATGGCAGGCAAAGGATTGGTGGCGAAGGATGAGAAGAGAAACATGGGAGGAGAGTCGAGCCACGATGGCAGCGCGATGGAGAGAGGGCAGGGTGGTGACATCAGGAGAGGATAGCGGCTGGAGAGACGGACATAGGAAGCAGGGGCCGCGAAGGAGAGATGGGGGGGGACGGGAGGAGAGGAGGCATGGAGAGGTGGATGGGAACGGTAAGTAGCAGATGAGCACATTGGTACTTGGTGGTACTTTTAAGGTGACCACTGGGGCTGGCAGGGGCCGCCAAATCACATTGGTTGGTACTGTCGTATGATTGCACCCGTCTTCACGATGATCACAAGCGACTGGGATACGGCGTGGCAGGGGTTCATCATGTAGCGGGTGGGTGGGTGGGTGGGGCTGAGAGCGAGCATGACCTTGGTAAAGGCGCATCATGGCGGCTACAAGCCTGTCGCTTTCCAACTCGACTGCCCCCCCGTGCCGCTTCATCAGCTCCTCCCCCCGCCGGTTCACCCGCTCGTTGCTGCCCACAGCAGACAGGGACATGGGTGGCCGGGGGAATGGGGGGAGGGGGGAATGAGTGAGAGGGGAAGGAAGGATGGAGAGAGAAAGGGTGAGAAATTGGCTTTAAGCACGCCTGCTTGTGTCGGGGGGGTTGGAGCGAGTGAGAGAGACCTCCTTGTTGGAATGAGAGGGAGAAAGAAGCAAGGAAAGAATGAAGAACGAGAAACGAATCAGATCGACCTGAGTGCTTGTGTTAAATCAGCGTCTGACATACAAACACCCCCCCCAAACCCCCCCATCCACACCCATTCCCCCCCAACGCCTCCCATCTCCCCCATCCTACGAACCCCACCCACCCCACGCGCCCACGCACCTGTCATTGGCAGCAACGAGCCAGAGCAGGCAGCTCGCATGGGGGACATTGAGCAAACTCAAAAGTCCCTCCCACCCCTCCAACCACTCCCACCCCTTCAACCCCTCCCACCCTTCCCACCCCACCCACCTCAACAGCACGCGGGCACGCACCTGTCAGTGGCGGCAACGAGCCAGAGCAGGTAGCACGCATGGGCGGGCGCCTTGACGGCTGCCAGGAAGTTCAGCACCGCCACCTGTGGTGCGGACAGCGACGGGGCGAGAGGGCGAGTGGGTGGGTGAGCGGGACACAGGTAGACGGGGGGAGAGAGGAGAGGAGGAAGAGGGGGATGATGCGAGAGGGAGTGTGAGTGGAGAGGAGGAAAAACCAAGGAGACAAGGAGGTTTGAGTTTTGACTCCTCCCTGCTGCAGGAAAGAGCGACTCCAGTGAATGAACCACACCGCACCCGCCACGTTCCCTGCATCCACCGCTCACAACCGAGTCCACTCACTAGCTCTCCCCCTACTACAGCTCTCACACACAAACAGAAATGGTTTAGTAGTACGCAAACCACGCTCTTCTCCTGCTGCTGAATCGAATAGAATAAGCACTTGGAAGGACGCGAGGAGCAAGAATGGAATGGCCACCGAACCCCAGGGAAGGAGCCCCCCTCCACGCACCTTCCTCTGAGCCACAGCGTCAGGCGGAATGAGGTTGAGCGCAGCAGGGGAAGCCGAGGTTGCAGGGGAGGCGGCCGAGGAGGAAGGCGCGGGGCCAAGCACACGGTGCAGCTGCGCGAGGGACAGCCCAGGGTGGTCAGAGAGAGGAGGCCTGTGTGGAGTGTGGCAGAGGGACCCAGAGCGAAGGGGAACAAGAAGGTGGGGAGATAGGGGAGATGGGGGAGATAAGGGAGTTGAGGAGATGGAAGGGGAGGGTGTGATGGGGCGGTGGGTGGGAGAATAGAGCACCCCCTCAAACGCTCACAGCCCCTCAACCCAAACCTCCCTTCACAACCACACACGCCCTCACCCACACAATCCCCCACACCTTCTCACCCACACACCCTTTCACCCCAAAATTCCCTTAACCACCCCCTCACTCCCACCCACATAACTTCTCACTCCCGCACAACCCCACATCCCCACACACTCACTGCGCGGGTCCGCCCTGCTGCCCTGCCGCATTCAGCTCTGCCCCCGCACCTCCTGCCCCCACTGCCGCTCCTCTCCCCCCTGCCGCCAGCCCCACTGCTGCTCCCCCCTGCCCCTGTGCCGCCCCTGCATTCGCCGCAGCAGCAGCAGCAGCGGAGAGAGAGGCCGGCAGCAGCATCACCTGCAGGCAAAACTCCAGCCACACAGCCATGTCCGGACTAGGGGCAGCACTCGCAGCAGCAGCGGCAGCAGCAGCCTTCCCCGCTGCCCCCCCGCCTGTACCTGCTGCGTCTGCTGCTTCTGCCTTGCCCCCAGCCGCCTCTCCTCCCTCTGACACAGCCCCTGCCGCTGCCACCTTAGTCAATTCCGCTGCACCAGCACCAGCAACACTCGCACCCGCATCTGCAGTGCTCGGCCCAGCAGCAGCAGGCGAAGAGACGAGCCAGGAGAAGGTAGCAGCGAGCTGCTGTTCCTCAGGCCCCGACCCCACCCCTCTTGGCGACCCATAGCGCAGCAGGCCCTGCAGCGCGCACCGCAGCAGCATGTCCTGGTGCGCTGCTGCGCGCGAGGCAATGCCCCGTAGCAGCACTGGCACCGCTGCCGCCTGCTCCTCTGGTGTGGCGCGCTGAAACGCCATGTCTGTGTATACCAGGGCGAAGCTCGCCGTGAGGAGGTGTGGGGCAGGGAGTAGGGGTGCGGAGGTAGTGGTGGTGGAGGTGGAGGAGGGGGAAGGGGCGGGTGTGGTGGCTGTGGCGGAGCAGTAGAGCGCGAGGAGGTCGGAGAGCGGCAGGTGGATGGCGGACGCCCCCCGCACGCGCTTGTTGATGTGCGCCAGCATCTCCATCACCTGATGCGTTGCCCCGGGGGTGCAGAGAGCAGAGAGCCCGTGTGCAGTGGTGTGTAGAGGTGGGGCGAGGTGGGTTGGGTTGTGGTGGGTTGGGTGCAAACAGGGAGGGTAGCGGCACACAGAGGTGAGGGGACGAAATGGGGGGCCGAAGGAGGTTACAGGGGAAAGGAAGGTGGGGGCCCAGAGGGCGAGGAAGAGGACAATAAGAGGAAAAGGAGGAAGAGGAGCGAGAAAGATGAGAAGTTACGCGGGTGGATCTGAGATGCTTCACCACAAATCAAGGCACGCAACGAGTAGGACGGACACTAAACGCAGAGGAGAGGGACGACACATGCCCTCCTCTCTCTTTTCCCGTTTAACGCTACCCGTACAATCGACTTCCCTGCAACCCCATGCACGCACTGCGACACAGCCCGCAACTCCGCGCTCACCGGCTGGTCAACTGGAGTCTGCAACTATCGGTACCTCCACTCAGTCACCCAATCGCCGTGAATTAAGTGCATCTCCTCCCTTGACCACATCCGCGTCGCGAAAACCAGTCAGAATATATAAATTCCCCCGCCCCTCCCCGCCCCTCCCCGCCTCCCACCCACTCACCCCTACTCTTTTTCCCCGCACGCAGGTCGCCTCTCACACCCCGACCCTCGGCCGGCCTCTCACCTTCTTCCGCGACGCCTCGTGCGGCGAGGCGAGGCGGGAGATGGCGAGTGGGAGAAGCTTTGAGAGAACCTTCTCGAGCTTCGTGTCTTCCGTGAGCGCCAGCCGCGTCAGCAGCCGGTCCAGCCCCGCCACCTCCTCCACCACGCTCGTCGCGCCGCCAGCGCCGGCGCCGGAGTTACTATTGCTCATTATGGCGTTCGGGAATTGGACTGGGTTACGGATCGAGCGGCTGATTTTAAAGAGAGAGGGCAAGCAGCAGGAAGGCTTTGGGCGAATCTAGATCGGCGCGGCGCGGAGCACTCTGCTCTGGTCCAGGAGCTCTGATCCCCTTTGTTTTAAACAACTCAAATCTCCGGGAGCTCCGATCCTCGAACTCGCACTATCGATTCCTCCTTGCCTGACAGGATCGACTCGCGTTGCTCCGTGAACCTGCGATCCAGTGACGATGCAGTTGTCAACTCAATGCGGTCGCAGTAGTGTGAAATTCGCTGGATGGTGAGATGTGAAGGCGCAGAGGCGAGAGTGCGGTGTTGGATGGTTGTGTGCACGGCAGCTTGGAATTCCGCAAGAAAGTCGCGGGAAGGAATTTCGAAATACACGTTACTCGCTAAAGCTGTGCGACATGAATCCGATAAATTTGTAGAAAAGAACGATTTATATACATGCTGCTGAGCAGCTCTAGCTGGTTCCATTGCACAGCCAGAACCACACATGTACTGTAGGAGCATGGAGCATCAGTAGAATGAAGAAATAGAAACTCCAATCAACCTAAAGGGTCAGCATCAGCATCAACTAAAGCAAAGGCTTAGGGTATGCGAGCGAGGCTGGTTCTAGCTGAGAAGCTCGATCCACAGGACACAAGTAGATGCATAAGCAGCTCATGTGACTACTGTTTCTGATCTCTACTTTGTTGTTGTTGCTGCTGCTGGTGCGCTTGTTGGCGTGACATGCAGACCTTCAGGGAACGAACCTCTGGGAGCAGACGGGAAGAGAGAGCAGGAAAACACGGGCTCCACACGAGCATGGTTGGATGGAGGAGACACGGAAGCGGGTGAGAGATACACAGGGAAACACGTGAGATTTCTGGGAGGAGACGGAATGATGAGTGGGGGACGGTTGCAGAGGAACAAAAAAGAGGGTGCAGGCAGATGTTCTTTTCCAAAGCCTCACCTTCCTGGCATTTCCTCCAGTCCCTGTCGTGCTCCACAAGGCAGTTCTGCACAGCACATGCCAGCACAGCAACACACCGCACATGGCAGCACAGAAACACAGCAGCAAAGCGCACAAGGCACATGGCATACGGCACGCATTTGCTTGTGCGGGCGAGGTTAGGAATCACATCAAAAGCCAGAGCTGGCCCTTCGCCTGCACGCGCGCTGGGAGGGAAACATGGATGGGGATAGGAGGCGCGAGACGCGAGACGCGAAACAGCGTGAGAGAGTGCAGATCGCGAGGAGGGATTGTCCAGAACGTGGAAGAGGCAAGATATTGGGATCATCAGTGTATCTCTACAGTGGTGGGTGCTTGTTCCTTCCATCTCACCCCCTCGTTACTCCGCTCCCGCCTTGCGCCTAACGGAACCACGCGGAACGGATCCACTCTATACCGCGAAGAAACCCACCTCCTCGCGCTTCCCAGTCGGACCGCTCTGGCCGCCGCTCCCAGTCGCTTCGAACGCCGAGAGACGTGGAGGCGAGGAGAAGAGCATAATGACGGCCACGAGGAAGAGCATAGCGACTCGCAGTTTGGCGGGAAGCACGGGAGAAGAGGTGCGGAGAGGAGAGGAGAGGGGAGGGGAGGAGACGAGAGGAGAGGAGAGAAGGAGAGGGGAGGGGAGGAGGCACCTCGAGGCGGACGTAAAGGCGGCTGCAGTCCTGTAACTGCTCCACCATGGGGTCTAGCTCCTCGCCCTCCTCGCCCGTCGTCACCCGCGTGTGCGCGTGCCCCGGTGCCGCCGACATGCCGGGTGTTGCCGTTTTGCGCGCACTCACGGGTTGCTGTGATTGTGATTGCGATCGGCGCGCCTCGTGGTGGTCGAGGGGTGTCGCAGAGTTCCCTTGATAAACGGACTCGCGGCAAGTACCGTACTAAAAGCTTGTTCTCGCATGGCTACAAGTATCACTCAGAGAGTTTCCACTCAGTTCTTGATTCTGAATCCAGGTAGAACAAATACTGTTAATTTTAACTGCAGAAGAAACATCTATAATACACATCTGGATCAGTGCGGACCGTTCGATCTCTGCTACAAGATAACCGTACCATATCATACCGTACTCTTTCTACAAGCACATTCAAAATAGCATATATTATCTTCATTCATCAGCTTCAAGTCCCACAAATTCCACTCCACCCCCCCGCCTGCTCACACTGAAGCCGCATCCTTCACCTTGTGGGCTGCAGGCGCGCCAACCGCAGGGAGCCCATCCGCACCGTTTGTTCCTGGCATACTGGCATCGCCCGGGACACACACTTCACTGTGAATACCCAGCGGCAGGCCAGCGCCTTGCAGGAGGAGGTCATCCCCCAGCTCCTCCACATAGGACGCCCAGTCCTGCGCCCCCTCCTCGTCCCCCTCGCCCTCCGCGTACCCCGTTGTGTCACCGCCTTCCTCCGAGGGGCCTTCTGAGCAGCCCTCCTCCAGCACCTCCGACCTGAGGGGGGGGTGCTAAGGGAGGGGGGTGTGGGGAGGAGACTGTGAGGTGAGAGGGGCAAAGAGGAGAAGGAGCAGAGAGTCCAAAGGCAGGGCAGAATATGTGAAGTGAGAGAAGGCGATGCAGGCTAGGGCACATTACAGCAAAGCGTGCCTCAGCACTCACCCTTCCTCCCTAACAACCAGTCCACCCACACAACCTTGCCCCACACAATTACCACTTGCTTTCCATCCCACCCTCTTACCCCATACCCCCATTTCTTAAACCCATGTTTCCCCCACGCACCGGAGCAGCAGGCCGCCATGGCAGGCAACCCAGTCAGCAATGAGGGAGCGCACGAGCAGGTTGTCCTGCAGGTGCGTGTGCGGTAAGGCCCGCCCCGTGCGCGGGGACACGGAGTGCTGCTGTAGCCACTGCTGCATGGCTGCCCGCTCGTACGTGTGCCCGTCCCCTGCTATTACTGGCCACTGCATCAGCTCCTGTTCATGGCAGGGTGGGAAGGGGTGGGGAAGAGGCAGGGTGGGAGGGAAGAGGAGGAGGGAGGAGCAGGGGGTAAGGATGGATGGAAGAGGAGGGTAGAGTAGGAATGTGATTATCATCACCATCACCATCACCACCATCATCATGCCATCCCATCCCCCCTCCCGTCTCACCATGGTAATGGGGCATCGGAACCCATCAGGCACCTGCGCGCCCGACCGCGTCGTCGCACTCCCCACCGCACCGCCCCCACCTCGCCCAGGCACCCCCATCCCACCAGCACCACCACCACCACCTCCGCCGCCACCCCACGAGTCATCTTTGAGCAGACCCAGGTCCCTCTGCTGCTTGGCAGCGCGCATGACAGCGGGTTTCATCTCGGCCAGCATCGCCATCACGTCTCGCGACAGCTCCGGCCGCTCCTTGCGCTTGAACGCTGCGCACCGCCGCGCGATCTCCACCAGCCGCATCGCAATCCCCGGCGGCCACGTGCCAGCCGTCGGATCCAGCAACCCCTGCAGCCGCTCCACATCCCCCGCCGCCACACACGCCTCCAGCCCCTCCAACGCCGCCATCCGGTCCCCCACGTGCCGCCGCGCCGCTCCCCCTGCTCCTCCCCCTCCGCCTCCGGCGGGTTTCTTAGAGGTGTCGATCCCGCGGAGCATGTCGAGGAGAACCATGCCGAGGGAGTAGATGTCGGACTCGCGGCTGAACTGGCCCGTGCGCAGGAAGTGCGGGTCCACGTAGCCGAACGTGCCCACGGCCACGGACTGCTGTATGAAGCTCTTGCCACTGTCCATGCCCACCATGAAGCGTGCTAGACCTACGTCACCGAGTTTTGCCCGCATGTTGCCGTCTAAGAGGATGTTGGCTGGCTTCAGGTCCAGATGCACGATGGCGGGGTGGCTGTAGGGGGGGGGGAAGGAAGGAGAGAGGGGGGGGGGTTGGGAGGAGGGAGAACGGGAGATGAACGTGTGGGGAATTGATGGGGGGGATGAGCAGGGGGGATGGTTCACGCAGTTCCCTCTCACATGCCCGTCCTGGCCTCCCTCTGCCCACGACCATCGCACCCCTTCCACAGTCACCCCCTTCCATCCTCCAGCCACTCTCCCCTTCACTCTTCCCCCACCCGTTCCCCCCTTCCCCACCACTCTCTCCCGACTCTCTCTCCCACTCTCTCTCCCCACTCTCCCCCGGCTCTCCCCCCACTTCCCCCAACTCTCACCGGTTGTGCAGGTGAATGAGAGCCTTGCAGGTGTCTTCAAAGATATTGAAGCGCTGGTTCCAGGGCAGGGGGGGCGAGCCCTGGTCGCACACGAGGCGGTCGTACAGCGAGCCGTGCGGCATGAGCTCGTACACCAGGCACGGCGGGTCGTGGCAGCACCCTATCAGCAGCACCACCGTCGGGTGCCGCAGCCCCCTCTGCACGTCCATCTGGTGGCGGGGGGGGAGGGGGTTGCGGGGTGCCAAGGGTGGGGTATAGTGTCGGGGGTGGAGGGTGGAGGGCGAAAGGTGGAGGGTGTGGGGTTGGGGGGGGGTAGACGGTGGGGGTTGAAGAAGGGGAGAGGAGGGGACCGGTGGGGTGAGGGGTCGAGGGATTTGAGCAAGAGAAGGCGGAGGATGAGAGAGTAGGGTATGGAGGGAGAGGAAGAGGCAGGCGAGAGAAACCAGTGAGGAATGGTAGGGAAAAACAGGAGCAATATTGTGAGGCAAAGGGGGAATGGAAGCAGGGCGGGCACATAAGGTGGGAGAGTGGATTGGAGGAGCTGTGAGAAGGGCATGAAGGGGGGTTCGTGTGAGGGAGGGGCGTGAGGGGGAGGGACATGAGGGAAGGGGCATGGCACAACTCAAGGCAGATACTTTTGAGGCTTAATGCAGCCCAGCAGCAATGTTACAGAACCAGCAACTGCTAACCCAATCCAGTTTAGCATCACACCCCATCCTCTCTCCTCGTCTCCCTTTCCCTCCCCTCTCCAGCCCTCCGCTCCTCCCCTCCTATCCCATTCCCTCCCCTCCCACCCTTTCGCAATTACACCCCTTCCTCCTCCTCCATACGTCTTCACCACTCTCTCCCTCCCTTCCTCCTCCTTCTTTCCCTCACTCCCTTCCTCCTTCCCATCCCCCCTCGCTCCACGCACCATCCCCCATACCTCTCCGTCCCATCCCCCCTCCTTGCACGCACCTCCTTCTTGAACTCTTTCAGAGCCTGGTTGCTGTTGGCGGTCTTGAGGCACTTGACGGCCACAGGGCAGTGCTCCAGCATGCCGCGATACACCGTGCCGTACCCGCCCTCGCCCACCAGGTTCTCCTCGTCCCACATGTCGCACGCACGCGCCAGCTCCTCAATGCTATACTCTCTGAACTCCTGCTGTAGCTGCTGCTGCTGCTGCACTTGTCGGCTGAGTGTGTATTGCTCCTGTGCTTTGGCGAGAGTGGCGGACGCTGCTGCTGCCAGCTCGGTTGCCTCGTGCCGCACGCGCTCTGCCTCTGCTTCTGCTGCTGCGGCCCGCTTCGACTCCTCATCCGCCTGGCAGGCAGGGAAGGGGGTGGGAAGGGGAGGCGGACGGTGGAGGAGATGGGGGAGAAGCGTAGGAGAAGAATATTTAGTGGTGTGGTGTGGTATGGTGCGGTATGGTGTGGTGTGAGACTGTTTCTGCTTCTGAGCCATGACTCCTCGGTCGTCTGCCTGAAAAGCGAGGGGCGGTTGATGGTGGGGAGGGGAGAAGAGTGAGTGGGTGCTGTGCGTGCGATGGCTGTTGTTGTGCTGCTCCTGGGCGAGTTTCCACATCAGCCTGGACCTCCCTTGGAAGCTCAACAGAAAGGTGAGAAGGAGAGATTTGGTCTGTGTTGAGAGGTTGCTGCTGCTGCTGCAACCAGCAGGTCTTTGGTTGCAGAATCAGCACTAATATGTGTAACTTGCGGGGAAGATTGAACAAGGAATTCGTGAACAAGGGATCTAGCTGGCTTAATAATGCGTGTGGAGGTTTGTGGGGTGTGTGCTAGTGGTGTGTGGAGTTCTGGGTGGGTGGAAGAGAAGGGTGTTTGGTAGGGAGAGAGGGATGGGGGGTGGGGGTGGGGATGGGTATGTTTGATCAGAGCGCACTCACACCCCCTCCCCACACACCCACCCACCCACACACACACACACACACACACACACACACACACACACACACACACACACACAAACACCGCCCCTTCCCAGCTTCCACACTCCCACCCAATCCCTCTCCCCCTGACCCCCCCACCTTCCCTCCCTTCTTCAACCCACCTTCCTCTTCGCCACCTCTCGTTCCATCTCAGCTTTCATCCTCCTCTCCGCCTCCGCTGCAGCACTCTCCGCAGCCCTCCGAGCCTCCTCCCTCGCCTCCCTCGCCTCGCGATCCGCTCTCTCTGCTGCCTCCTGTGCAGACCGCGCCTGCTGCTGCACGCGTGCCAGCTCCACCAGTAGTACCTGCACCTCTGCTCGCTCCCTCGCGCCGGCTGGCACGCCCATGGATGGCAGGGACGTGGGCACGGACGCTGGGAGAGAGAGCGAGTGCTGCATGGCGAAAGGGAAGGATGGGGAGAAGGGGATCGGGAACGGGGGCTGGTGTGGTGGCGGTGGGACGGACGGGGGGAGAGAGTGTGGGGGGAGGTGCGCGGCTGTGTGGCCTGGTGGTGTGGGAGGAAGGGGAGATCCACTTGCTATGCTTGGAACAGCTTCTGTTGGTGCTGCTGCTGTTGCTGCTGTTCCAGAAGCAAGGGGTGGTTCTGCAGGTGGCTGTAGGGCAGGTGGGGGTGCACTGCTGCAGCGTGGAGGCACAGAGCCACTCTGGGCCATCTGATATACATGCTGCTGCCTCTGCTGCTGCTGCTGCTGTTGTTGCTGCTGTTGCTGCTGTTGCTCCTGCTGCTGTTGTTGTTGCTGCTGTTGCTCCTGCTGTTGTTGCTGCTGCTGCGTCTGGTGGTGGTGTAGCAGCTGTTGCTGGTGGTGATGCTGCTGCTGCTGCTGCCATCGCTCGTGAAGCTGCTGATTCTGCCGCTCCTGCTGCTCCAGAAGCTGCTGCAGCAGAATCAACCGCTGCTGGTACGTCTGCTGTGCAGACCTGTCAACTGCACTACCACCCTTCTCCCCTTGCCCCTCGCCCACACCCTGCACCTCAAAAGGACCCACCTCTCCCCCAAGCACACCGCCTGTGTCACCACCAGCCACCGACCTCAACTCCTCCCTACCCATCCCTGCCCCCACACTGCTCCTGCCGCTGCTCCTGCCACTGCTCCACTCCTCATCCACTCCTTCCATTGCTGCTGCATCTCCACCAGCCGCAGCAGCAGCAGCAGCACCCACATTGCTCAGCCGATGCAACTGTTGCTGCTGCTGCTGTTGCAGTGCTACCTGCAAGCCCCAGTGAAACCCGGCAGGAGGCACACCAGCAAAGCCGCCAGCAGCAACAGCCCGCGCAAGCGGGGACGCCACAGAAGGGCTATTCAGAAGGCTGCTGCCAGGAGACGGAGAGGCAAACCCAAAGACTCCCATGGCCATGCCAGGAGAGCCCATGGCGGGAGAGCCTGTGCCGGGGGTGAGGCCTGGGGTGAGACCAGAGGAGGCAGCAGAGGAGTAACTAGCAGAGAGAGCACGCTTGAGCCGTGGGGAATTCACTGCCGAGCTTGTGGCAGAAGAGAAGCCCTGCTGCTGCCCCCCGCTAGGCCCCGGGCTCTCCCATCCAATGATGGACCCTCCTCCTCCTCCCCCTCCTCCTCCTCCTCCCCGTCGCCCTCCCCCGCCCCCTGCCTCCCCAGCGTCCCCCCCTGTGGTGGCGGCAGCCTGAGCAAACGCCAGGGCGGCCAGTTCTTTGCGCGCCAGCACGAGGTGCCTCAGGTCCAACGCCTGGGGCGGAACCCCTCTTGTGCCGCCTGCCCCTGACGCCCCTGCTGCCCCTGCTGCCCCTGCTGCCGCTGCTGCCCCAGAATCCGCTGACGGACCTACCACCATGCCTGCTGCCGCAGCAGCAGCGGCAGCAGCAGCAGGAGAGGCAGCAGCGGTATCCAGACGCGCTGCCTGCTTGCCGTGAGGAACATTACTCTCGTTCAACAGCTGTGCCATACCTTCCCGCCCGTCCCTCCCCCCTGCTGCCCCTCGCCCCTCATGCCCTTCTTCCACCTGCGCCAGCCCCCCCACCTCCCCCTCTGCGAGTCTAGGCCCTGCCCCTAGCGTGCCGCGGCCCAGGCTCCTCCCTCTCTGCATGCGCGGCTGTGCGGGGGAGGGGCCCGAAGCGGACGGGGAGAGAGGCGGGCTGCAGGAGGGAGAGCGGGACGATGCAGAGCGGCTCAGAAGCGCGCTCACGCCTCCTGCCTTGGCAGCAGCAGGAGATGCAGACGCAGAGGGGGAGGCAGAAGCGGAAGCGGAAGCAGACGCAGGAACGGGAGCAGCAGATGCAGCGGCGGCGGCAGCAGCAGCAGAGGCTCTAGGGGCGAGGGTGTCAGGGGAGAGCACGCCCTGCAAGTGCTTGACCTTGCGGCCGGCCTGCACCACTATGATGTCGCATGTGTATGGCAGGTGCTTTGCACAGTATGCCGGTAGGTTTGAACTCTTGCTGAACAGCTTCCTGCACGGGGGTGAGGGGAGAGAAGGGGAGGAGAGGGGACGAGGGCGAGGGGGGAGGGAGGGGCAGGGGAGCATAACTTTCGATTGGATACAAAAAGCAAATCACTTCAGGTATCTGGATGCGTATGTGATATTTCAAGGTTACCAACTCTCCAACTTCTACTTTCCCAACTTCTACCACTCATAGATTCGACTCATACTCATCCAATAACTATCTCATTCTCCCGCTCTTCCTCCCTCGGGTTTTAAGTCAGCGTCGAATTTGACTCCACCCGAGTTTTTTTTTTATTCGCGCCCGACTCAAACCTCGACCATGTATTAGGCTAAAGAAAAACCATCCCCAGTTAATTACTACTTGACCCAAGTCGAGTAAAACTCGACCCAGAACACATCGCCTGCCCCGCCCCGAAACCGTGCATAACTCCTTCCAGAGTCCTATTCTGTGAGCGATCAATCTTAATCCTCCTCCTCTTTGTTCCACATCAGGGGACACACCACGGAGAAGCATACGGAGAATGGTGCTCCACACATTCCCATCCCTCCCAAGACGAGGCACTCATTGCATTGTCTTGTAATCCCTCGCCCGTTCCCCTGTGCATCACTGTGCCCTTCCCCCGTATTGCCCCTCTTCTCTCCCCTTCTCCCCCCTTCTCCCCCCTTCTCCCCCCTTCTCCCCCCTCTTCCCCTCCACCACACTGACTTGCGCTGGCCAATGTAGAGGCGCGAGGCCTCCTCGACCAGCGCGCTCTCGCGCAATTTGAGTCGACTCAACTTACACCCCCCCCCCCCAAACACCCCCATTCCCCTCCCCTCTCCCCCCCCACTCTTCTCCTCCACCACACTGACTTGCGCTGGCCAATGTAGAGGCGCGAGGCCTCCCCGGCCAGCACGGCGTGGCACAGCGCCCTCTCGCGCTTGTCCGTGGGGGCCACGAACGTGTCCGCCGCCACCTGCAGGGGGGAAAAAGGGAGGGCCGGGGGAGACCGTGAGAGGGGGAGAGGGAAGGAGAGAGGAAGGGGGAGGAGGGGAGGGGAGGGGAGAGGGAGGGGGGGAAGGTGGACACCAGGGGGAGGTGGCCACAGGGGGACGAGAATGAGCAAGGGGGCAGAATGGTGGGTTGAGCGGACGAGGAAGGGACGATGTGCGGAAGGGGGAGAGAGAGCTGTTTGAAATGAACTTGTGTGTTGGCACGTGGTGGAGTAAGGGGTGGGGCTGGAACGAGCTGAGGAAAAAGGAATGCGGGAGTGGATGTGGAGGGCGGAAGGTCGGGCGGCGATGTACACGCATAGGGGATTGGAACAGTGTCAGCGCAGTGGACAAGTGACCAGCAAGGAAGAGAAGCAGCCACAGGCGGCTGTGCGTGCGCGCGTGTGTCTTGCGCGCGTGTGTGTTGCGCGCGTGTGTGTTGCGCGCGTGTGTTGTGCGCGTCGTAGGTCAAAGGAGACGGAATGGAAAGCGTGCATGGTGAAGCGGAAGGGGAAAAGACGGGGGAAGAAGCAGGAGCGCGAGAAGGTGGTTGATGGGAATCAAGCGCGTACGTCCATCTTCTCTGCAAACTCTTTGTACGGCAGCAGCATCGCATGCGGCGAGTCCCGCTCTTCCTCACCCACTGCACCCTTCTCACCCTCGCCTACTCCTCCCGCCGCTCCGCCTCCCGCTGCATGCCCTGCGCCAACCGCTGCACCGGCAAGAAAATGCGCAGGGAGGGGCAGGGAGAGTGAGACGGTTAAGGCGAAAAAAATGCATTTAAGAGGGGAGAAGGGATGACGGTAATGAGCTCAGACGCGCGTACGAGTTCCAGAGTGGAGCGGTGCGACGCGCCAGATTTGCTGAGTTCTGGAGGGTGCAACGCACAGGGCAAAACGAGTGGTGTGGTTGCTGAGGGAAGCGGAGAGGGGGGTATGTGACATGTCGACGCCTGTTCGCTTTATTGACCACCTGGCCATCTGATACTCCGCAGCAGTGAAGCACTGCTGCCGTCTAGCATCACTGCTTGTGCCGCCTTCCCTCTCGCATTTCCTCCACCTGCCGTCTGCCCTCCAGTGTCCTCCAAGTCTCGCACACACCCTCAGCTAGCAGCCTCACACTTGTCGCTTCAGCGCTTCGCGGACATTCTCTCTACGCCGTGCCTCCTGCCTCGTGTCTCAGTTCAAACTCAATCCAGTGATCCGCGGCGACTCGCAGGAGTACGCCTATCAAAGACGACCATGACGCCGCCGTTGTGAAGCATCTGGGAATATGCGAGCCGCGAGCACGAATAGTAGTGTCAAAGGGAAGGACACATGACGCGTGGCTCAATAGCCCATCCACGATTGACAGCACGAACGACGCTCTGTTCTACGCCATTAAGAAGGCACGGGATCCAGCGTGGAGGTATGAGACAGGAACGGCTCGCTTTACGTACACCTCTGTCGACAACGAGCCTGGAGACGTAGGATAGATTCTAACTATTCGGAGGTTCCGCACTGACAAGCGACAAGTGGCATTGCTCGGGAGTTCTGCGAGACGTCTCGCGGCGCTTCAACATTGCCCGAATTAATGCGAAAGCCGCATGCTACTACATACGCGAGGCGCCAGTGGTGACGAGTCGCAGCAGCACGCGATAAATGACGGCCGTGGCGTCATTGACGGCCGTGACGAGCGCGTCCTTGGTGGCCTCGCGGTCGCGCCCCACGTCCACCACCCACACCTCGGGGGGGTCGTCCGCCAGCGCCATGCGCGCTGCCTGGGTCGCTGCGCGCGGAACACAGCTGCGTGTGCAGCAGCAGCAGCTGAAGCAGCAGCAGCAAGGGTGGGCGAGTTGGTGAGAGAGCGCTAGGACACGAGCATCGTTGAGACATTTCACATTCATCTTCAGAATGTGTGGTGGAGCTGGGGAAGGGCTGGGTTGCCTGGGTTCTCGAGAAATTCAAGAAGACGACTCCCAAACCAGTAAAAATACACTTGAAAGTTCATCACTCTGGTAACACTAGTGTAAATACATTATAGTGAACGTAAATGCATCCGCAGTCGGAACTGTATTCATATTTTTTCAGTCCGGTGACCCGATGTTGGTGTTTAACCAAACTTTTCATGCCAAGCCACAAGCGGTTTACGGCCACGCCTCTAAATTCCAGGGGAATTACGCTGAGCAGGATCAAGTCAGTGGTGGCGTAGAAATTTGATGTGGAGACAATATCCCTTTCCAGGTGCAGAGAAGTACACGTATGTGTGTGGATGGGCCGAAATCCGCATTTTTTACACCCTTGTTGCTGTACACAAAAAGATTCTAGAATGCCACACGCCGTGCTGGGATGGGACAACAATGAGCAGCGCCGAAATGCATCTGGCACTTCCACATTGGTTGATCTGCACGTATGTGGTGTACTTTCTTGTGGTGGGTGCTCGCCCATTCGTCAGAAATTCGCAAGAAACCAGCAGCAACTGGCCATTTCTGGGACCGCGAATTTGACCTTTCAGTCAGGAGGAACAGCTCGCGCCGTGAATTATCTATGGCACACTCCGTTACAGTGAGTTACGGTAATACACATGATGCCCGACCAGTGCACGCGAATTTGCCATGCACCGGATGGACACGCTGCCCCCGAACTCGAAACCCCTGCTTGCTGCACCCCATGTACAGGCACCTGGATGGCCTTCTACAGTGAACGCGGCTCGGCCTCCCCCCCACGTGCAGACCACAACAAGCAGTGCCGACCCATGTTTCCCCTTGTTTCTAGGCCAGGCGCCAACCTGACGAAACGAATGGACGAAATGAAAATGGTTTCGTAATTGCATTCGCCCACCTACCCCGCCACCTAGGCAAGTTTCAAGGTGCGTGTAACAGACATCTGGCCTGGTGCACGCTGCCACGTGTAAACCTCAATTGTGGGGTACAAGGCCACTAACATCCAGGCGTTGTTCGCCTAACCCACGTCAGAGTATAACTCTGGTGGTAACCCAACCACATGTATGAAATTGTAAGCAGGGTGCATGTAACGAATCATCACAACACAATTCAACCCCCGTCACCCTGAACGGGCCCCAGAGCAGGTTATCCGCGGTCCTAAACACAAGTTATAAACTGATGAGCAAATTCACAAGAGCATCAGTATCTCCCGCCTTAGCCTCCCACAATGCCTCGCCACCATCGCCGCGAGCAGCTTCCGCTATTCATCAAGGGCGCATTATGCGCGCATCACGTCGATTATCCCCTCCTGCGCCACGTCGATCTTGCACGCTGGGTTTACGCCCAGTATGGCCTGCGACCTGACCGCTCCACGGTCGGCCGCATCCTGAAGAATGCGGGCCGCTGGGCTCTGGAGGAACCCAACGCCCCCAATCAGGTGCGGCGCCGGGGCGGCGCATGGCCTGAGCTTGAGCAGGCCATGGCTCGCTGGATCGCAAACGCGGGCCCCGCGGGCGTGCCACTCACTCTGCAGACGATACGCGACCACGTGGCGACGATGGCGCGACGCATGGGCATTCCGCCCGCGTTCCGTTGCTCCATTGGCTGGGTCCGCCGTGCGTTGAGGCGCCAAGGAGTGCGGTGCCGTGCAGCCATCGGCGAGGCGGCGAGCGCCGACATGGCGGCTGTGCGTGAGGCGCGTGAGAAAGTGCCGCAGCTTCTGACTCACCTCGGTTACCAACCGCGCGACACTTTCAACTTTGACGAGACTGCGTTGTGGCTCTCTGTGCTGCCGCGTAAGACGTACAGCAACGCGCGCATTCCCGGGCGCAAGGTCTCGAAGGACCGCCTGACGGTGGCTTTTCTCGTCAACGCTGACGGGAGCCACGTCTTCCGGCCGTTGGTCATCAGCAAGGCGCGCCGTCCGCACGACTTCAGGCCGGACTACGACCCGGAAGCTCTGTGCTACTGGCGGCACAACGCGAAAGGCTGGATGACCAGCTCGGTAAGTCACAGGCGCCTGCGTGATTGCGCGCATTTACCCCCTTCCCCCCACACCCCCCCCTCACCGTCCCCGTCCACCCTCCCTCCACTCCCATCCAACAGTTGTTCACGCATTTCATATCGCAGCTCAATGCCGCGATGTATGCCGAGAGGAGGCACATCGCGGTGCTGCTCGACAATGCAAGCTCCCACATGCTGTGGGACGAGTGCGCTTGGAGCGAAATCGTCTGCGGCATGCGGACCACTTGCCTCAGCAATGTGCGCCTCGTCTTCCTGCCGCCTAACACAACCTCCTACACGCAGCCCCTCGACCAGGGCATGATCGCGACAGCGAAGGCCCGCTATCGACAGCACTGGCTGCAGGCCTTCACTGCACTGTGGAATGACGACGGCGCAACCAGTGCCGTCGCCCGCTGGCGCCCCAATCTTCGCGACGTGCTCGGTTGGCTCTCCGACGCCTGGATGAGCGTCGGAGCGCGCACCATCCAGAGGTGCTTCTGGCGCACGGGCTGCTTGCCTCTGTCGTGGTCGCTGGAACTCACGCATGTGCATGATGACGATCCCACCCCCCATGCTTACCCGGACATTGAGCTCGACGACGACATCGACAATGTCGGGGAGCTCATATGCGGGCTTGGGCTCGGCGCCGGCGCAATGACCGCCGCCGAGTACGTCGCCATCGACGAGGGCGAGCCGACGTGCGCGGAGGCGGCGGCGGGAACGTCTCCGGAAGATGCGGACGTGGGCCTGGTGGCGGAGCTATGGAGGGCGCCGACCACGATGCAGGCCGTGTATGACGACAACGACCCCATCGGCCGTGAGGCGCGGCGCACGGCACGGGCGGCCAGCGAGATGCTCATCGGCTACGCGCGCGCCGTGAACGTGACCCCGCGCGACCTGTGCCACCTGTTCGACATCCGGAATCCGGTCATCATTGAGCGCATGGAGCGTGCAAGCCCCGCGCTGGCTCTCAGCATGGCCCCGCCGCCCAGGCTTTCGACGAGCCCAACCCCGCCGGAGGCGGCCCAGCATCCGCGGGGCCGTGTGCTGCCTGGCTGGATGACCCAGCCGTCCCGCCGTCAGCAGCTTCTTGACGCCGGGGTTGGCGCCGCGATGGGCGGGTACGTGGATGCGGCCGAGTGGATGCAGGTGTGAGCTGGAATTTCACAACACTTGATCAGGAGTCGAAGATGGGAGTCGGGGAGTTTTGTTGCAGGTGTAGTTTGATGAAATTGTGCACATAACGGGCACATTTGCAGTACAGGGGATGGTTTCTTGATGGGGGTTAATGCTGATGTGGCGGATTATGGTTGGTGCGTCATTGCCTGTCTGTTGTTTCAATCTAAGTTGAACAAAGGTTGTCATTGTTTCCAGGGTGTGTGTTGTTATCGTAAGGATTTTTGTAACACACGCTTGTGACAACTAGTGCCATCCGACACTGTTATATTAGAGACAAAATGTGTGGTTACCATATGCGCGATACATGCACGCGCAAAGCCTGACGAAACCCTCTACGAACCGACGAAATGCGGTTTTAGCTTACAGTCCCCCTTCACAAGGCAACCGGGAGGGGCTGTAACGAGCATCAGGTGTAACCATCTCCCTTTCTGAAAAAGAAGGCCCTGTTCTGTTGCCAATCGGCGAATGCGCCGTGGACAACACATCACAACCAATGTTGCGTGTTGCTTCCACTAAATCGTCAAGACCCCAGGATAGCGCGAAAGGTCTTCCTTCCACCTTCTCCGCAACTACAAAGGCTTCTTGGACCTTTATTGTACGTTGAAACGAAAAATCCAGATACATGAAATTTCGCCAACCTCGACTGCCACCAAAATAACCCCTAGGTTCAACAAACGTCCAAAGTTGAACAATGTTTTATCAGCTTGGGCCAGATGACATTGGGGCACTGCCCTCTACCCTGCCATCGAATGTTTATCCATGCCCGTGACTACTTGTGCTATCCCTAAATCCCCTCTCTGAGCGGGGACCGAGATAGCACAAGCCTCGCATCCAGATTGCCTAGGAGTGGGGGATAGCACCGTGTAACGGGTTCACCGTACTTTTGCGCTAAAACAACTACATAGCACAGTACTGGTTAGGTTCGGGATGAAGTTAAGGGTCCCAAGCATGTTTAAAGGAATGCGCCCTTGTAACATAGGATTCGAGGCCCTACCATGGAAGCCTTTACGAAGCATCAACTGGTGTTGTGCGGAGAGTTCCGCACAACTGATGCAGCAACAGAACAGGGCCAAAATGACCTCGAGCTCGCAGCCATGGGTACATCTTTCGGCTTCGTGAAGCTGCACTATCACGTTGCTCTGATAACTACAGAATTGAAATCCTATTCATGTTGGGCTGAGATAGCCCTTAGGATATTTGCAGGACTAAACTCTGAGTAGGAACAATGTAATAGCAGAAGCATTTAATGAAAGTCTGTGAACCACCTTGCGCTAGTATGTGAGGGAAAAGTAGATTGATTAAAGCAAAGAGATACAAGCATTTATAAGAGTACAAGGGAATATGAAAGGTTATAGCTAATAACTGTTTTACTGTTGCTGTTGCGGTTGTGAGAAATAGGAGGCAGAAAGATAGAACAGGAAAGAGAGGTTTGCACTAGCAACCAGTTGAGTACATATAGGAAACCCTAATCTGGGCTGTACTCCCTATAGAGTACCCCACTGCAGGCTAGACAAATATAACATTCTGACACACCCCCATAGCCAAAGTGGGGTGTAATCAGCACAACAAGCAGGCATAGCAATAGTTCACAAGCACAAGTACAGCTAGAGGCATTCACAAAGGGCAAGTGAGGAGGAGGAGGAGCC